GGTTTCTCAACATTGGCACTACTGACATTGTGGACTAAATGATTCTCTGTTGTAGGGCCATTCCCTGCACTGTAGGATGTGTAGCAGCTTCCTTGGGCTTCCACACCAGTACCATCAGCATTTTAGGGGGGACAACTAAAATGTCTCCAGACACTTCCAAATGTTCCCCCAAATCGCTCCCAGTTGAAGGCACTGATTCATATCTATGACTCCACAGACATTATTATTTAGGAGGATAAGGCTTTTAAATAGTTACTGAAATTGAAGAAAGCCATTAGATAAAAGAAATTATAGAGAGAATGTAAGTGATAGTGATGCGGCAGAAATGAAGAAGGTTGTATGCAAGAGGAAGAAGTTTAGGAAACACTGATAGAGCTTTTCATCCGCATTTGACAGATGTAGAAAGCCGAAATCTAGAACAGAATACAGAATGGGCTTGACCAAAGTCACCCAGGTGCTGGGCCCTGTGCTAATCTCACCAAGATGATGCAAGAGAGGCATTTAGCACAGTGCCTGCACCCAGCAATAATAATCCCTGACATACATTGAGCACCTGCCATGTGACAGGTACTATTTTAAGCTCTTTACACATAGTAATTAATTTGATATTTACAAGTCTGTGAGGTAGGGATCATTGTTATTCCCATTTACACTTGCAGGAAGGGACAAGGAGACAAATCCATGGTTGGGGAGGAAGCTGATGAGCCATTTGGTGGAGCTGTGGGTGGGGGCGTGATCTATCATTTATGCTTTCGTACCTATTTTTAAATATTTCTCTTAGTGCCTGCCATGTGCCTAGCAATACAGGGCCTCTGGTCCAGAGAAAATATGTAATTCATGTCAGTTATTACTATCAGCTACTATTCCCACGGTTTCGCATGCTGTTACTGAGTTAGTAAAGGAAGCCTATAGCTGCTACTGCTTGCATATTATTCATGCAAGAATGAAGAATTTGTTTTTTTTCAGTTGGGCTTCCAAAGTTTGTTTTTCATTGAGAAAAAGCAGGAAGGTTAGAAGCTAGGAATGCTTTAGGCTGCAAATAAAAGACAACTTCACTTACAGTGATTTGAATAAATCGGGATTTGTTTTTTCCCACCATGATGACATCTGGAAGTAGACAACAATGGCAGTGGGCCAGTGCATTCATGATGCTAGAAGGTGTCTCTGTGAGTCTCTTGGTCACTGCCCATAGTTGCTGATGGATGCATCACATCCACATCCAAGGTAGGAAAAGGAGTGAAATAACTGTATCAGCCACCTCTGTCCCTCTTTGGGGGAAGCAGATCTTTCCCAGAAGCCCAGCAGACTTTTCCTGGAACCTCCTGAGCCAGAGCGATGCAATTTTGTCATCTCTAGCTGCAAGATCCTGTGAAGTATTTAGCTGGGCACATTGCCACCGAAAACAAAAACCAGGATTTTCTTAGCAAGAAAGAAAAGGGAAATGGATATTCAGTAGGCAGCTCACAGTATCTGTCCCAGGGACGGTTCCAGTAGCAAAGGTGTTTTCTGTCCTCTTCTTTCCAGCCACCACCCCCGCCCCCAGTTCCTTCTCATCCAGCGGCCAGCCATTGACTGGAGATCCATCTTCCTTTCTGAATGAGCACTCACCGGCCCCCAAATGTTGATTAGATAACTAGTGTTGGCCAAAAATTTCCTGAGTGCAATGGGCTACATACAAAGTATTAAGACTGTCACCATCATCATTACCACCGCCACCACCACCACAAAAATAACCTGCTGAGTATTTACCGTGATCGCTAAGGATTCCACATACATTATCTCATGGCGGCATCACAATGACCCCATACGTGTTACCATATTCACATTCTACAGAAGAGGAAATTTAGTTTTTGAAAGGCAAAGTGGTCTGTTCAAGGTCACGTAGCTTGGAAGGGGCAGATGTGGACCTTGAACCCAAGCCCACTGTCTTCACTTTTGAGATACTAAAGGTGCTACAAGGGAGCCAAGATGAATTCATGAGAAATAGTTTACCAGTGCTGCAAAACAAAACAATAGTGTGAGTCCTAAGCTATGCAGTCTTGGAAATAAGTTTTGGAAGAACAACGAGGAAGTTGGTTTTCACAAAGGCCAGAGGTAGTCAAGAAAGACTCCTGAGTTGTCCCTTAGGACATGTTTGACTTTGTTTCCATGTGCAATAGTTATCAAGGCCAATGCTGGCCTCCCAACCACAGCAAACACACGGAACCAAACAGACCTTAGGAGGTCTGGACAGCCACAAAGCAAACAGAAACCACTAGACTCGGTGTAGATCTGTTTGGAGTTTGTGGGCACTTTTGAGGTCTCTCGGGGTCCACTGACAATCCTGCAACCATGTGCCTGGCACCAGGGACTTCGGTTGTTTGCAGTGCTGTGGCCAAGCTGCCAGCAGGCAGATTTGGAAGCCCAGCTGCCGAAGGCGCGCTTGTGAGCCGCCTCAGCTCCTCTTCTGTGTGTTCAGCCCGGCCTGCCTAAACCCACTCCAAAATCCCTCCGAGCCGAAAAAGGAGAGCATGTGCTTCCTTTTCACACAGTTTTTCTGAATGCCCATGAATATAAAAGAAAGGAAGCAAAACCAAAAAAGTCTAGGACACATGATATTCCCAAACGACAAAAAGACAGGAAGCTTTCTAAATCAGAAATCCGGCCCTGTCTTAAGGGATTTCCCTGTTTGTTTGGAGACCATGCTGGCTCTTAGCAAATTCAGATAAGGAACAACTGCAATTCAATGCATTCCAATTTAACCACTATTTTCTGAGTACCTATTGCATGCCAGGCCCTGCACAAGATTCTAGTGCAAGACGCTGATAGCTGCAAAGTCAAGTATGATCACGGAGGAAACTTTTGGCAGAGAAAGCGATAAAGACCTCACGGAGACCAGGAAAAGGGGTGATAGGAAGCCCTACTAAGATGATTCTTTCTTTCTCTGTTTTTTTTCCCCAGAGTCATGAGCACACAATGCAGAAAGAATTTTAAATAAAAGTTCAAAACTTAACCATGTGAAAAACAAAAATAAGGGAAGGCATGGTAGCAAATAACATTCATTTGGGAATCAGACTTATCTGAGCTCAAGGTCTAGCTCCTCTACCTGCTAGCTGTGTGACTCTGGGTGAGTCACTTTACTTCTCTGAGCCTCAGTTTCCTCATCTGTAAGATGGGTGTGGTAATACTCCCAACTTCAGAGGACTGAGATGATGCAAGAAAGGCACTTAGCACAGTGCCTGGTACATAGTAAGTGCTCCATTGATTTTTGTTTTCAATAATGATAATGATAACATAGCATTATCATCATTAACCTTAGTGCAGTGTTAGAAATATAATGAGCACTCAGTTATGATTTGCTATGGCTGGTTTTGTTGTCTCTGCTGTTGAATTATTTAACGCAGTGTCTGGAGACAACTGATGACTCGGTGAGCAAACTGGGACCCTTCTAAAGCCAGGGCTTAGCGTGTCAGTGTGGAACTCTTCCTACAGGACAGTCTCTGGGAGTCAGCCTACGGAATGCCTGTCTGTGATGAACCAGGGAAGATCATGTGTCTTCTTTTCTCTTACCTTTAAGAAACTACCCTAGTGGCCGGGCGCGGTGGCTCATGCCTGTAATCCTAGCACTTTGGGAGGCCGAGGCGGGCGGCGGATTGCTCAAGGTCAGGAGTTCGAAACCAGCCTGAGCAAGACCCCGTCTCTACCAAAAATAGAAATAAATTAATTGACCAACTAAAAATATATATACAAAAAATCAGCCGGGCATGGTGGCGCATGCCTGTCGTCCTAGCTACTCGGGAGGCTGAGGCATGAGGATCGCTTGAGCCCCGGAGATTGAGGTTGCTGTGAGCTAGGCTGACGCCACGGCACTCACTCTAGCCTGGGCAACAAAGTGAGACTCTGTCTCAAAAAAAAAGAAACTGCCCTAGTTGGCTCCATCCTGCCCAAAGTCACCATCAAGGTGAAATTCGCAAAGCAGAAGAGCTCAGAGACTGCCCTGGGAAAGATACACGCTGCCCCACGCCTGAGGCCGTGTCTGACCTACCTACACAGAAGACGCTCAGGCTTATTGCAGTTGGGTTTTGCTCTCCTCTTTTCTGTAGTCTTGGCCCCAGCAATTCCGTGCGATCCCAGTACAAGCCTCAGACTTTGCTTGAAATTTCATCTTCTCGCTCCGTTCTCCTCCTCACCTCTTCCCATACAAATCCTTCCCATGTATCAGAGTCCCGCTCAAACACTACCTCTTCTAGAAAGGCCCCCAGTCTCTCTTTCTTCTCCCAAGCCAGAAAAGGTCCTCCCTCCTCTGGGCACCACCAGAATATTCTCTGCACGTCCTGTGTGACATGCGTCAGTCTGGACCTTGGTTTATGGCCATGTATGTGTCAGGACTACGGACTGCACAGGACGGGAAATCCCCTCAAACCAGCTTAAGTGCAGAGGGATTTCTTTGGCTGGCTCCTGTGAAAGTCAAGAGTGTGACAGATTCAGGCACAACTGGATCTAGTGCTTAAACAGGAAATCTGGGCTTCTCAGCCTCTCAGTTCTCATTTACTCTGCAGTGGAAATGAAAATGTCATTTTCACGTGGTGGCTCAGAAACCAACAGCAGCCCCAGGCTGAGCCAACCCAAGGGAGCTCAACGAAAAGTGTTCCAGGAAAAAATCTTTCACTAGACTAACTAGGATCATGTGTCCATTCCTGGACCAATCACTGCCATGGCCAGGAGAATTGAATGTGCTGATTGGCTAGACTCAGGTCACATGCCCAGCCCTGTTGCTTGGTAGCGGGGTGAGCCCCCCACTCAAATCCTTGACCTGAGAATGAGAGAGCTGTGGTTTCCCAAAGGGAAACCAGGGTTGCAACCCAGAGGAAATAGCAATTATCTATGGCAGATATAAAATTCCTGCTGAATCATCTTTTGGTATCTCACTGTGCCTAGTATTTTGTTTCTCACAAAGTAGATGCTCAACAAAATTATCAAATAATTAAAAAAAAAAAAAGCAATGTGACCAAAGAACTTACCTGTTGATTTTCCGTATCTCCTCGTCTGACATTTAGTATTACTGTATTTGGCCAAGCAGAGATCACACATCAATTTGAGTGTTTCTCCAACTCTTTTAGGGAATATCTTAGTAAACCAGACATCACAGAGCCTTCCATCTGGAGTCAGAAATAACGCAGACAATACTGATGTTTAGTAATCCAAAGTGCCTAGCTTGCTAGGAAAAAAAAAAAATGTTTTTATCCTAATAAGAGAGAATTGGCCATGACCAAGTCCTTGACCTGTCTGTTTGAATCCTGTCTTTCTAGCCATTTCTGGTCATGAAAATTGGGCAGGATTTCTGGCATCCTTTATGCTTCTTTGTTATTAAAAGCAGGATCAGTTAATAAATAATTATGATGCTCAGTTTCTAGGGAACAAGGAGATAAGGGCAGGAACACTTGAGTCTTGCAAATTACATGCTATAGTATAGATTTTCACCCAGAGTGGAGAACAGCCTCGCTTTCTTTCTTCTTTCATTTTTTTTTTCCTGTGGCATAAATTGTTCTAATTATACGTGCAAGATCCTCTATTCCCAAAGATATGAGTTGGAAGCACTGTGTCTATTCTTTTAATTCCAAGAAGCATTTGCAGTTGCGCGTTCCCACCCCCCTTGTTTTCAAACTGAATTGTTTCAGTGGTAGCTTGGTGTGTCAGCTTGTAAGTCTATAAAACAGTTTTATACCAGCTGGAGATTCAACATGCTACATGAATACATAACAGTGCCTAACCAAGAAGGTTTGTAATTCAGTAATTAGCTGTAATTAATGAACACAAAGTGAAGACTCATTTACAGTTTAAATTATCACATTAGCTCCTGTCACCCTCTATGTACACAAAACAGCAGGAATTCAATTATTTTTATTCTTCAAAGCTAATTTAAAATTTAAGGGATGCCATTACATGAAATAATAGGTAGGAAATGTAATCGAAATCACTGGGAACAGTTGGCCGTCCTTAGAATAAAAAAAAAAAAAAATGTGATCACTGACGATTTGGAAATGTTTTTTCATCTGTGAACAGATGAAGGATTGAAATCTCTGCTCTTTTCAGTATATTTAATTTAAAAGGAGAAGCGAGTTTGGTGGCTGCAGAATCCTCGTGCAGGGAGAATCATCGTGCGTAATTGTAAAAGCAGCTGATAACTGATAGTGCTGTTGATAGTAACGAGGGGACGGCCTGAGAGATGCACATTCCATCATGCCTAATGGGAGCTGCGCCTCTTGCAACCGCAGGGGGTTCCTGGAATTGTCACCCGTTTGTGATGCACAATTTCAGCCTGTGTGACCTTACGTCATTGTCACTCCTCTGAGGCCCTTAATTCTTTGTACGTGTAGATGATAAGTATTCTTTCATTCATTCGTCATCTACCAGGTATCTTCTCGGTCTCAGGCACTATTCTAAGTTCCAGGGCCACGGCGGTGAGCAAGAGAGACCACACTCCTGGTCTCGCGGAACCAACGTCCCAGCGGGAAGAGGGACAATAGCCAGGGGTTCTGGAGCTTACATGCATGTCAGGCCTGGGCGTCAGTGTTTTTTTAATAGCTCTCTAGATGATTGAAATGCTCAGCCAGGATTGAGAACCGCTGTGATAAACTAATACATACAACAAATGAATTAGCATTCATTGGTGTTAGGTGCTGTGACAGAAACTAAACAAAAGAGTGTAGAAGGTAACTACAGGCTGCTCTAGATTGTGTTCAGGGAAAAGCAGCAGACCTGAGAAGACCTAAAAGAACGTTGTTCTTGTCCAGGGATCAGCAGAACTGCTACTGCTTTTTTTTTCTCCTCCTTCTCCTTTCTCTCTCTCTCTCTCTTTTTCATTATAAACCTTTAAAAATGCAAACACATTTTTGCACAAGGGCTATTCAAAAACAAGTTGCAAACTGAATTGGACCCACCCAAACCATGACCTGGAAAACAAGGTCAGCAAGTGCAAAGGCCCTGAGGCAGGTATCAGTTTAATGTTGAAGCAGAAAGAAGGCCTGCAGAGCTGGGGCTTAGTAGGGAAGGAGGAGAAGATGAGACCAGAGGAATGGGCAGGGATATATATTTTAGTTTATATGTGACAAAAAAAAAATCACTGAAAATTTGTAAGCAGGGAATGTATGAATGTGTGTGTGTGTGTGTATGCAAAGGAGACACTTACATGTCCCCCTTACCGCAGCATAGCTCCCTGCAACTGCCACTCATCTCCTTCTGTGGCAGTTCCAGGAAGAGAAAGAAAAGCAAAGCCCGTGTCTAAAGAATGCTGCGTCTGTTGCTTTGGACTCCTCTCTTCTGCACTCCCCCCCCTCCTCTTCTCATATTCATTTTTCTTTTGCCTTTAAATAGGCCACTCGAAGCTGCACTGTCTAATTTTTCATAGGTGATCGACTGCTGAGTGGGGGTTTAGGTAGACAGAGGGAAGGCGCTGATAAGCCGGAGCACAGATTCTATTAGGGAAATGCAGAGGTAATTAATGAATCCTGCCAGTAATTGGGAAGGTGTGAGTCCCCGTAATATCGTAATGATAGTCATCCGTCTGCGAGCCCCCCGTCACTGTGAGCCATCCCTCATCGCTCTCTGATCTCAGACTCTTAGCCATGCAAATCTCCCTGACAGGACGCTATGTCTCTGTCTCCCTAATTGGGCAGTATAGAGTTGTTTATGGATATTGTCGGCATTTAGGCCTCAGTTGGAGGTTGTTCAAAAATCGTTAGCAAACTTGCCTTAACAGCATTGTCAAGTGTGTATTCCCCCGTTTCGATATCTGTTTTTAAGCTGGCAGAGGTTTGTGATGAAAATAAGTGATGCATTGTGTGGACTGGAGCTCTGTGTGTGATTGGTATTAAACCGTTTTTGAAGTAAAAACCAATTTACGGTAATTTCTCATCCCACTTAAGATAAAACTTCAGTTTGTGTGCAGGAATGGGATGCTTTTTTAATAGCATGTCCTCGGTTCTATAAAGAACATTGAGTATGTTAATGCCATCCTGAGACACAACCATTTGCAAAGATTACAGTTTTGCATCGAGACCGGTTTCTAAACATCCATCACCATTTAATTCCAAAGGAGCACCTTTTCCAGAACCATCTGCCACATTTTCTTGCCGATATTTTTTTCTGGATGCAAATGGCCACCCTTTTGTCTCCCCCAAACTGGTGTGATGAATTGTTTGAAATGCCATGAAATAGATTTTTTTTTAAAAAAAAAAGCCCTTATAACTCTGGTAAGTAAGCAAACTTGATGTTTTTACCATGATGTTTAAGAAGGATCTTTTAAATATTTAGAAAACATAGGAAGTACATTTTAATATATAATCCACACACTCTAAAAGTATTCAAATATGAACAGTACAATTCAGACTGCATCTGTATCAATTCTAAATAGGAGAGAAATTTTCAAGAGCCTCTGGTCTCTATTTTCTTCCCCGTGAAGGATGAAAGGGATGTCAGTGCCAGGGCAACACAGAGGCGGACTTTAGCCTTGATTCTTCCGTTCACCAGCCTGTGTGGCCTTGATTAAATCACCCAGCCTCTTCGAGCTCCGGGCTTCTCATCTGTCTCGTCAACACTCAAATGCAGTTCCCAGCCTTTACGCTCTGAGTGTACATAATTCATGGAGAGGCCTTTGCAGTAGGACCCAAGAAGCCCTGCTAGGAGAACATGGACAAATCAACCCCTCCCAGCCAGTTTCCCCATCTGTAAAATGGGCCAGTTAATACAAACTTTGTCGGGTAGACTGAGAAGCAGAGATGAGGAGTTGAAAGTACCGTGAGGGGCTTGAGACCTGGAAGTCGCTCTGCCGACGGTGGCTGCTGCCTGCTGAAGCCCACGGAGCGCCAGGCCTGGTGTGCACCTGGCACTGGGCAGACATCCACGGAGCGGAGGGAGGAGGCAGAAGCGCCGCAGCACTGAAGAGAGGACTGGGAGGAGGCAACACATCCCTGGGCACGTCACTCTGAGGGTTAGGTAAGGGGACCCACCATCCTAGTGTGCCTGAGACTGAGGGGTTTCCCAGGACAGGGGACTAACCCCAGGACAAGAGTTCATCCTAAGTTTTAAAAGCCCTCCTCTTCAGCCCAGGAATCTGACGGGTCGTGATTTACTGAAGTCCCAGGTTCTCAGAAAACCTTCTCCATCTTCCATTTCTGACTCTGTTTGTGGATTAGTCCCAGTTCTCCGTAGAACCATCTGGCACATTCCAGAAACTCTCAAGAAACAGAAATGGCTGCCAGGCAACGCTCTCCCTCCACAGAGGCTCCACCTCAAGTCCTCCGGAAAGTTCCATGGGCTCTCCTGACAATGACTGGCGGCTGCCCCTCTCCCCAGCTGTGGCTGTATGCAGTGTGTGTTGGGGGGAGACGGGGTAACACAGGGGACAGGCAGGGAAAGGAGTGGTGGGTCCCGCAGCGCCAATGCGCCAACTGCTGGGCCTCGCGGGAGGGAGCCGAGAGAGGTCCAGGCTGTGGGCGGGGAGCCTGGGGGAGCTGGTTGGCAGGAGCTAAGCAGGAGAGCCCCGTCAGCATTTCAAGGACAGGCTCGCTCGTGTTTTCCCATCCACCCCTAAGCAAACATTTGGACCTCCTCAAGTGTCCAAACTCACTGAATCTTTCCTCCATGGACATCCTAGCCCTGGAATTTTCTGAGATATGTCCAAGTGTCCAAAAGCCCTATAACCTCTGGGGCTTTAATCACAAATCTCCTCCCAGGGTGGTCTGTTCGAACGGCCAGGACCTTCTTACCAAAGTCCTCATTCATCCCAAATGGCCGACCAGCTGGACCATCTTTAATTTAAAGGTTTTATTTTGCAACTTGGCCCCCCAGCCCAACCCTGGTTTTTCTAAATCGCCATCCCTTGCCCCTTTGGATCTGAATGAAGAGCCTGTAACACACATATCTTCTGGGAGGCTCTGTGATGAGTATTACGGCCAACGTGGTTCAGAAACCTGAAGCCTAGACTAGAATGACACACATGCCAGGGCGTCCACCCTGGGATACGAACGTGCTGGCATTTCCCATTATAAAAAACACAGGCGAGAGCGACGAGAGGGAGAAACTTGAAGTGTAAGGAACTTTCCCGAATGCAGCAACTGCCGACCCTGGATGCAAACTGCTGTGCAGAATAATTGTCAAA